GATATGATTCAAGTATATATCTCTATTAAATAAATGACGTTCCTAAGTCAGAGGACTCGGTCTATGATGGTCACAATGTTCTTTCTGGGAAAAGATATCCTTATTCATCCATCCTTTTCAAAACATTAGGTTACTTCTTACAAATAACTGTTATTGTTATATAAAATAACTTGAATGGTAAGAAATATGACTCTGAAATGTTTTATATTCTGTGAACAGAATGCTATGGAGCATGTCACGTGAGTGTCTGGACCACGTGACTTGCGTATGGGCAGAACGGTGACAGATATGTGCATTAAATTAAGAGAGTATTACTTTAACACTGAAAACTTACTTTGATTGTTTTATGGAAGCTATTCAATTAGTTCGCGAACTTTTTGATCATTACTCGTATATATATAAATTTAAATTTTTCTAGGGATGAGTACATTACCTAGTATTAATTATAACTTTTTTTCTATTTTTATCATGACTGGCCCCCATTTATTTAATTTTATAGATGGGTTCTGGCTCGGTGGAAGTGACATTATTTTAGAGGGGGAATGGATGTGGATGACAAGTAAAATACTTCTGAGTATGGGGTACACAGCCTGGAAGCCAGGGGAGCCCAATAATGAAAAAAATAATGAGCATTGCTTGGAAATACAATGGACCAGTTTTCTTTGGAATGACACACCATGTGACCAACGGCGCCATTTTATTTGTGAAAGAGAGTGAGTGCCTTAAAATTAATTGACTTTATTTCATAGGACTGTTTCTGATGGTATATAATGGTTTCACGGCTGGTCACTGTACGTCTGATAAGTTATGCACTAATGTTTTGAGTTATCAATGCGGCGTTGTTTTTTTCCATTAACTTGGAACAAATAATATTGTACAAAATATCTTACCATATCGTACTTTTTTTCTTACATATGTGATCGGTGTCGTGTAGTGAGACTTCTGCCATAGCCAGATATCCCTCTGAAGGCTGGCTATATAGTGAAACTTCTCCCTAAAGACTCACTTTAAAGCGAGAATTTTCCTCTTCGGGGCGAGACTTTTCCTCAAATAAAGATTCCAAAATATTTATTTTTACTGTAAAAAAATGTTGATATACTAACGTTTCAGTGGCAATATAATAACAGTAAGTCAATATGTCTTAAAAACGTTTTAAAATTTTAAATATAAATCTTATTATTTTCTTAAAATGTGCCCCTATTTTGGTCAAACCCTTGTCGGGGTCCATTATTAGAAGAAAAAAATAGAAATGATAATAACAAGCACAATATTTTTTTATTATTTAAAAAATTATCAATTTATTTTTTATTTATTTTTATTATTTTCCTGGTCTGATTATTCAAAAGAGTTTTAAATGCCTGATATTTCTTAATATTTGTTTATTACCTTTGGTCAAATTTAGTCAATTTTTGTATAAATACAGAAGTCAAACAATTTGTATGAAATATGTCAAAATATGAAACAATGATAGATATATTTGCAAACAAGACAACAATGGAAATCACGAAATGCTGTATTTAAACAGGGTTATTGAAATGCCAGTTACTTCAACTTATCTGTCAGTAGCTTGCCTCATTTTAAAAATTGATCGTAACATACTACACTTTTAATGCAGAAAATTATGGTCGATTAAAGTTGGATGACACGTTCCTAAAAATACGTTTTTGTAAATCATAATAGTTCATCAAAATTATTCATAATTATTTTTTTGATTTCTACGCTGTTTTTAAAATGACTCTAACAATAAACAGGCATTAACAGCATTGTGAAACATGTATCAGCAAATCAAAGAATTTCCGTTGGGATTAGAAACAGAATCTTACACTAATGAGTGATGATGTACCTCATTTTTGAGAAAATATTTAAATTATTAACACTTTATTTTAAAATTCTTTGGGGAAATCATATTTTATTGAGGATTGTGCTGTCTGGTCTTAAAAGAGAAATAAATTTAGAAAATGATTTGAAATATTTATTTGTAGATCTCGTCCCGGGGGTGATGTCGTTGGCTGATTGGTTTCAACTTTACAGATAAGGACGTTAACTGTGTTTATATAGTATAAAGGAAAATATTAATTAAAAAACAGTTTTTGAATGGCAAATATTTAATTACTTTCAAAGGGTTCAAATTATGCCGTAAATGCAGAAACCTATTGAAGTGATTGGCCATCAGTGCCAAACACCATTCTTTTATTCTGCTAGATTGGGTTTTTGGAAAGAAAATGTCTCTGCGCGCCAAGTCTGTTTTGTATTTTACTAGCGGAAACCGGGTTACAGATTGTGATTTCCTATCCAAAATAGAAATTTAATATAACTTAAGGCCCGTATACACGGCAAGATTTGTATTATAATACAAAATCTTATTGTGTATACACTCTTAATACAGTGTATCATACGATTTTTCGAATCTTGTAAAACTGTAGTAAGAATAGGGCAATGCTCTACGTACTCCCATTGGGGGTCATCCTATTTATATCATTACTAAAAAAGGCTCATGATAAATAATAGTGGCCGCAATTCAAGTAAAGATATAGAAAAACTCGTGGTTTTATGGGAAGGGGGAGAGGACTTGTGGAATATATAATGCAGTGCATAGTACGATGATAGACACTGCTATCAGAACCTCATCTTCCATTTTTATTATTTTGACAGAGAGAGAAATATGGCGAGGGAAACACGTTGGAATACGTAGTTTATTTACAATCTTATAAGATATGTATTAGCGTGAGTACAAGAAAGTATTATACATGTATTACAAAAGTATTATAATACTTGTATCATACTACAAATCTCATTGTGTATACCGGCCTTTACCAAATTCTCGTTATACATTTACATTTTACGTCTATATAAATACAAAGAAGAACCTTCGAGTTAATGAAAAGCTTGCGTAAAATAAAAACATGTTCAAGAAAAATTCGGCATCATATTTACCGATTACTACGCTGACTTTTAATAAAACATTAAAAAAAAATACGTATATTCCTAGTATATGAGTTCATAAATGTATCATCTTCAAATCTTCTAGCCCCGTGGGGATCCGTGTTAGAATAGGTCCTCAGTACCCCCTTGCTTGTCGTAAAAGGCGACTAAATGGGACGGTCTTTCGGATGAGACCGCATAAACCGTGTCACAGCAGGTGTGGCACGATAAAGATCCATCCCTGCTCAAAGGCCGTAAGTGCCGAGCAAAGGCATAAATTTGCAGCCCTTCACCGGCAATGGTGACGTCTCCACATCAGTGAAATATTCTGGAGAGGGACGTTAAACAGTATACAATCAATCAATCTATGATAAACATCTTTTTATATTTTACCATTCTTTTTACAGTTCTTTATACCTTCTTTGATGAAATTAATATGTGCCATAGTTGGAAGGCCGGCCAGGCGGTCCCAAAACTTTCGCAGTGACTCCTAGCGGTGGGAAAGTCCAGTTGTATAGGAACAGGGCGATAACAACAGTTCAGGACAGGTGAATAGCGGTAGTTTAAAGGACAGGATCAGTACTCTGTCACCCAACAAAAAAAAACATTCTGTGTCAAATTAAATAAAAAAAACAGACGCTAATACTTTCTCTAAACAATATTTGTCCTGAAAATTTCTTTTTTGAAACTGTTGAAACTGTTTATGATTTTTATTCGTCTGAAACATGGAATTACTATTATTGTGAGTTAAAGAAAAGAAAAGAAAACAAGAAGCTTTTCTAATATTTCGAGAGCTTGATTTTGTGTCCGATTGTTTTCTGGTACAGATATAGAATATTACTTCACATTTCAGCATTAAATTGAATGTATTCATTTAAATAAAGATGTAAGAAAATCTAACCACTAATGTAATAGTCACCCCCACTCCTAACGAGAGTCGGACACACTGCCCGGGACTCCCACTATACGAACTATTGCACGCTGAAGAGGTTAACCCCTGTGAAAATAAACGTGATTTGTTTTACTTTGTCCAACGAAATATAACAGCTTTGTTTCCAAAATCAATGTAAGAGGGTCTGAACAAATGTGTATTTTTTATCTCCATATCCTTCATTTGAAAGATGCTTTTAAAAAAATCGGTACAATGAATTGAGCTTACATAAATATATTGTTAAAATCCATGACAAAGATTTCCTTCTTACATCACTACAAATATTGCATTTAACTTAAAAAAAATAATTTCAATTCTAAATGTTCTTTAAAGTTGATTGGTGGCTACGATACGTATATACTATTGTATAAATTAGTAATAAAATGTATGGAGATAACGAACAGTATTCAAGCTCAAAAGTCCAATAGAACAACACAAATAGGACCAGAGCAAACATGAACCTCAAAAACATATGAAGTCGGATCAGGTGCCATGGAGGAGTGAGCATCCCCAGCCGGCCAGACTTCTTGAAGATTAACCAGTTTCCTTTACTCGTATTGGGATTTGATTCCAAACTCAAATCACTACCACGGTAACTCATGACATTACTTCATGTTATTTTATTGATATTTTTAGTTGTCTTTTTTATATAATATCGATTATGTGAAACTTGTATGCATCTTGATCGAACTCCGTGTCCGTAAAAAGGGGTTGGAAAAAATTGTCCGCCTTTTCATTTAATGATCTATCTTTACGGACCTAAAAAAAATACGCTTAACACTGAGTGTTTTACTTCTCTGGCACCTCGGTCATTTTAGGTGTTTTATATAAAACAGAGGGATTCTGGCTTGGTGGGAGTGATATTATTTGGGACGGAGAATGGATGTGGATGACAAGTAAAACTTGAGAGGTCATCATGGAGTCATGAAGTGGTCAGTGTAAGTGCTCCGGAAATTTTTGTATATAACAACGATATATTCACCAGTTCGGGTCAAAAATTGCCAGGTAACATCTACCCGTATATGTATTGACTGTCTTTTAGCAACATATGCGTTATTTTCCTATTTTTATTACTTTGTGATCGTTTTATTGTTCTCATGTGGGGACAACTCTGGAGCTGAACTGTACTCAAGATGTATAAATAGCTATGTCTCTCTCAGATACAGTCCAGATAATGGCCGAGTCAAATTCTATTATCTACGGGAACACTTCCAACCCCAGTAACAGTGACAGCGATGTATCATTACACTCAATTCACTCGTTACTTATTCAAATGAATTCTAGACTCTGTGAAATCGAGAGCAAGATGTCCCAATTAAATGTTATTCAAAGTGATGTGGCCAAAATCAAGACAAAAGTAACTGATCTAGACTCAGAAATAAAGAACATACATGTACGTAGTGAATTCAAAGACCTTGAGTCTAATGTAAGTTCTTTGGGGTTAGTATTTGACTCTGTGAAAGATACGGCGGAAGCGGCTAAGAAACAGGCTGAAAGTAATAAAAATGACATCAAGAGAGCAGGTCATGAATATAGAGCAGCACAAAGTCAGACTGAGCGAGATATACAATTATTAAATAAAGAAAATGCAGAAATTAGAGACTCTATCATCGACTTAAAAGCCAGATCCATGAGAGACAATCTAGTGTTCTCAGGCATTCCAGAACAGAAAGGAGAGGACACAGAGGAGGTTCTGCAACTTTTCCTTCGGAAGAAATTTAGGCTTGATTGCGAACTTTCATTTGAACGGGTCCACAGGATGGGAAAGTTCAGAGAATTCAGTGAAAAACCTAGAAACATTGTAGCAAAATTCACGTATTTCAAGGACCGGGAATACATCAGAATCAAAGCGCCACATAGACTCCATGGATGTAACATCTGGGTAAATGAACAGTTTCCGGCAGAAATCGAGGAGAGGAGGAAAAAACTCTACCCCGTTATGCGACAGGCGAGACAAGACAGATGCACGACCAAGCTAGTGCGAGATGTGCTATATATTAACGGGAAAGTGTATACACCTCCACCTCCACTTATAACGGAGATGTCGGAAGAAACACCATCCTTCAGATCCTCCGGGCAGTCATCACACGGAAATCGGTGGACTCAAAATCAGCAGACACCTAGGGGCGAGCGACCAACCCAGAAGAGACCGCGCACTGGATCTACTCCAGACCGCACTGACGACTAGGGGGGCGCAGGAGAGCAGACATCCACCAAATGTAATGACTCTGTACTGACACCTGATCGAATACAAAACACTTTGAATTTTTTATCTTTAAATGTCTGTGGAATTAAAAACCGGCTAAATTATAACGAATTTAAAGAATTTATTACCCAATATGATATAATAGCCTTCACTGAAACAAAAACCGATAATTCTGACGAAATTGATATCCCAGGATATACAACATTTATGAAAAACAGAAATAAGCTTTCAAAAGTAAGATCGGGTGGATTGATATTAGCAGTACGCGATGAAATCATAAAGCATGTAAAGATTGTAAATACTGATTGTAAATATGTGCTATGGTTTAAGTTAAATAAGTCACTTTTTCATACGTGTGAAGATTTGATATGCGGAGTTGTGTATATACCGCCTGAATCTAGCAAATATTCTTGTACAGATTGTTATATAGAAATTGAACAAGAACTCATCAATGTTTCAAAAGACCAAAAATATGTATGTTTAATGGGAGATTTTAATGCTAGAGTCGGGAATTTAAAGGATTATTTTACTGCAGATAATTTTTTGACACATGTTAACCATTCAGAAGGTGCATTTGAAGCCTCTATGTTATCAAGGGCTTTTATTTTTGAAAAATATGACATTCCTTTAGATAGATCTGTTGAAGATACAATTGTCAACAATTTTGGCCATAAATTAATAGATTTCTGTAAAAATAACGATTTGTATATTGTAAATAGTAGATTCGGTACAGACAAAAACAAAGGTGGTGTTACTTGTAAAAACAGTAGTACTGTGGATTATGTTATTGCAAGTGTACACATTTTTGAACTTCTACAACATTTTAAAGTACATGAGCTCTGTAATCTTTTTTCCGATGTACATAATCCATTGTCTTTTTCTTTGTCCACCTGTTCAATGTCTAAAAATAGTCCCATGTGTGAAAACCAACCAGGTGTAAAGTTATGGTGCCCCAATAGGGAAGCCGAGTTCCGTAATAACATTGATACTTCAGCTGTGAAGTCAGTTGAGCGTAACCTTATCGAAATGAGTAATAATAATATTTCAAGCACTGATATCAATAAGGTAGCAAAAGATATTTGTAATATTTTTACTAAATCAGCCAAAGAAACTTTCGGAAGTTTTCCAACCGGTCAATATTCAGAAAATAAAAAACAAAACAAACCTTGGTTTAATAGAGAATGCAAAACAGCTAGAAGAAAATTTCACTTAGCTAAAAGAATGCATAACTTGTGTAAATCAAAAGAAAACAAACAAAATCTTAGAGAGATGAGTAGAAGTTATAAAAAAGTCATGGATAATAGTATTAGAAATTATAAGGCTGACCTAACCCGTAAACTCATGCAATTACGCACTACAAATACTAAAGCTTACTGGAAAATATTAAATTCTTCTAATAAAGAGTCAAAGAGTGCAGTAGATATTGAAGAGGTATTTAAATATTTAAAAGGTATTAATGAATGTAACAGTGAGACTGATGATGATGATTTCAATTCGGCTGATAGAGATCTAGAAACGAGAGAATCCTCTGATGATACACTTAATCGTGAAATCAGTGAAACTGAAATTATTGAAGCAGTAAACAAATTAAAAAATGGAAAAGCATCTGGTTTCGATAACATTGTAAATGAACATATTTCATCAACACTGTATACCTTTCTACCTGTGTACAAGATGTTTTTTAACATTATTTTTGATAGTGGACTGGTTCCAGATGAGTGGCTAGTGGGTATTGTTAAACCTATTTACAAAAATAAGGGCGATCCGACTTCTCCAGAAAATTACCGTCCTATTACTTTATTGAGCTGCTTGGGCAAACTTTTTACAAGTATATTAAGCAAGCGATTAGAAATGTACGCAGATGAGATTGAACTTATTAAAGAGAATCAGGCAGGTTTTAGGAAAGAACACTCTACTCTAGACCATATTCTGACTTTACATTTTTTATCAAACACACTGATGAAGTGTAAGAAAAAACTTTTTTGTGCTTTTATAGATTTCAAGCAAGCGTTTGACACTGTTTGGAGAAACGGCCTCTGGAGTAAACTTTTAAATTATGGAATTAAAGGCAAATGCTTCACGTATATTACAAATATGTATCAGGGTATTAAATCACTTATAAAGATGAACGGCACTACAACCGATTTTTTCCTTTGTAATGTCGGAGTACGCCAAGGTGAAAACTTATCTCCTTTTTTATTTTCGTTGTATATTAATGACCTAGAGAATTATCTTGTTGATAGAAATATAATTGGTTTACAAAGCCTTACGACTTCTATAGAAAATGATTTATGTGTGTATTTGAAACTTCTTATACTTTTATATGCCGATGATACTGTCATTTTAGCAGAAACTCCTGATGATCTACAAAATGCTTTGAATGAATTTGAAAGCTACTGCTCAGAGTGGAAATTACAAGTAAATATAGAGAAGACCAAAATATTAATTTTTTCGAAAGGCCCTTTAAACAAAAGAGTTTTTTTACTATAATAACAAGATTCTAGAAACTGTCAAAGAATTTAAATATCTTGGTATCATATTTTCAAGATCTGGCTCCTTTTTAAAAGCCAAGAAACATCTCTGTGACCAAGCCCAAAAAACTATGTATGGTGTTATCAGAAAAATAAGACAATTTAACCTCCCTGTAGAATGTCAACTTGATCTGTTCGATAAAATGGTTTTACCAGTGTTACTTTATGGTTGTGAAATCTGGGGTTTTGAAAACTTAGATATTATTGAACGTGTTCATTTAAAATTTTTGAAACATATTCTATATTTGAAAAGTAGTACCCCGAATTATATGGTTTATGGTGAAACAGGACGTTTTCCATTATCTGTCCTTATTTATTCAAGAATAGTCTCATACTGGTGTAAATTATTGAATAGCACAGATAAGAAAATTTCATGTATATTGTATCAATTTTTAATTGCTAACTCACAATCTGAAATTGGTAAGAATCCTTGGATTGACTGTGTTAATCGTATTTTTGAATCATGTGGACTTTCTTATATCTGGAATGAACAGTTTTATCATAATCCTAATCAAGACTGGGTTACTGCTGTTGTTAAACAAAGATTACAAGATCAATTTATACAAAAATGGCATTCTGATATTAACAGTTCTTCCAAAGGTACTCTGTATAAAATTTTTAAAACAAATTTTGAGTGTGAAAAGTATTTAAGTATTCTGTCATTAAAATTTAGGAAAATACTTGCCAAATTTCGTACTACTAATCACCATCTACCAGTTGAGCTGGGAAGATGGGCATCAATACCATTAAGTGAAAGATTATGTACACTTTGTAATGCTAAACAAGTTGCTGATGAATTTCATTTTATGCTTGAATGTACTGCACTGTCAAACATAAGGAAAAAGTATATTAATGAATACTACTTTACTAGACCAAATGTTCTTAAATTTTCTCAACTGATGACAAAACAAGATGCTATGACACTTAAAAAACTCTGTACGTTTATATTAAAAATATATGATTTAGTCTGTCCTCCATAATTGTTTTCCTCACATTTCATTATTACGTGTTTTTTCCTCCCTTTTTCCATTTTTTTTCTCTTCATTTTCTTCTCCACTTCATTGTCTTATTATGTATATCATATATTTATACCTCTGACCAGAATGTACATATGCTGTAAATATTTTTCATTGTCCTCATGTACCATATACTTTAAACGGTTTGAGTGAATAAATGAACTTGAACTTGAACTTGGAGAATGGATGTGGATGACAAGTAAAACTAGTATGGCGGACACAGCCTGGAAGCCAGGGGAACCCAATAATCACGGACATAATGAGCATTGCTTGGAAATAGACCATCTTTGGAATGATGCGACCATCAACGCAATTTTATTTGTGAAAGAAAGTAGGTGCTTAAAATTTAGTTGACTCAATTGTATTCATTTTTTATTGTTTTTTTTACAGTTTCCCCATTTGTGGATTTTGGGATCCGTTTACTTGACCAGTAAATGTTTTGAGCGACAAATCTTTTTAAGGATACATACCACAAACAAATTTTCTTATCTCCTACGCAAAAGAGTTACAGTGGTACGTTTTCAATATTTCTGTCAATGCATATGCAATTTTAGAATTCTAATTATGTGAAACTTTTCAGTAAGAAAACTTCATACATTTCTTTTAAAAACTTTTTTAAAAAGTAATTGAAAAGGTATTGTAAAGTTACATTTTCGCACTTATCACCAAATTATGTGGCTTGACCAAACATATTATGCAGTTAAACTAAGCAATTATCACTTATTAAGTGTATAAATTTTAGCATAGATATTTGAACGTTGGGGGAAAAAGTTCATTTGTGTTATTTATCCTTTATCACGTTCTTAACAAAAATTGTTGAATCTCTTATAAATTATATCAAAATA